ATTTTCCTGCTGTAAATTGGGTTATACAAATGGATTGTCCAGAAGATGTAAATGCATATATACATCGTGCTGGTAGAACAGCAAGATTTCAACAAAATGGTGAATGTTTACTAGTTTTGCTACCTTCTGAAGAAAAAATGGTACAAAAACTCAAAGAACGCAAAATACCAATATCTATGATACAGTAAGTTAAAATTTATTTTCTAAATAAATAATTTATATTAATATTTTATATATTTAAATATTTATAATTTAAATATTTAAATATCTAAATAATTATTAATAATTTAGAATCAATCCAAGCAAATTACAATCTCCACAACGTAAAATGGAAGCATTATTGGCACGAGATGTTTCATTAAAAGAAAGTGCTCAAAGAGCATTTGTAGCATATGTAAGATCGATCTTTTTAATGAAAGATAAAGAAATTTTTAATGTTCATACATTAAATACTGATTTATTTTCAAGGTAAAATATAAAATATATATAATTATTATTAAAATGCTATCGTTTTTTCATTATTGCAATTAATTTGTATTTTCAGATCTTTGGGTTTAGCTATACCTCCAAGAATTCGATTTCTTCAAAGACTGGAACAAAAACAACAATTAACTAATCAACATATTGAAGATAATAAACAAATTATTTCTCATAATGAAATAAATTGCAATATAAATGAACAAATAAATATTGAATATTATAATCATAATGATAAAGAAAAGGAACAAAAAAATATATCTCAAACAATAAATCTAAATGATTTTACACTTGGTATAAAAATGATTATTGACATTTGTCGAATTATATATTTTTTTTTTACATATATATATATGTATTTCTTTTTTTCATAGATGATAGTGATAACGATGATATATTAACTGTGAAACGAAAAAATATAAATCTTGATGACATACCAGTTGCTATCAATGATAAAGAAGATGAAGCTTCAAATAAAAAAAAAGCAGTTACAAAAGCTGCTGTTGCTAAAAAAATTCTTCGAAAAAAAATATTACCAAATAAGAAAACTATCTTTAATGAAGAGGGAAAGGTTCGATTTTCTTTAGTTTTAAAATCAAGATATAATAATCGTATATATAAAATTATAATATCTTATTTTGTAGGAATTACTAAATCCCTCTAAAGTTAAAATTTCCGAATTAGCAAGGCAATACGAAAATGAAGAAGATTCTGGTATTAATATAGAAATAGCTAAACAAATATTACGCGAAGAAGATAAATTTGATAAACAACGATTCAGAGAAAAAATAAAGGAAAAACATAGAGAAGAAAAACGCAAATTAAAAGCTAACAAGAAAAAAGAAGATGATACAGATGGTGAAAATGAAATTGAAGATGCTACAAAGGATTATAGTAGTGATAATGAGCACAATGATCCAGATTTATCCTGGTTACCAGACCCAGATAAAATTTATGGTAAACAACAAGAAAGTTCTAAAGAAATTTTAAATATTTCGGAATCAGAGAAAAGTGAAGAGGAAAGTGAAGAGGAAAATAAAATACATAGGTACACATTTTAATAAATAAAATATTAAATACATTAATCTACAAAAATATATTTGTTTTATTTCTAGCATCATTTTAATCTTTGGTAATTTTATACTTACAGACCATTTAAAAGAAAACTTATAGTGCAAAACGAATGCAAAAAGAAAAAGAAGAAACAAAAAACATCTCTTAAAACAGATAATACAGATTTAAAAGCGTATGAGGAACTAGCATTACAACTTCTACAGAATTAATATAATTAACTTATTATATGTAGATCAAAATTTTAATAATTTGTATATATTCTATAATAACAATATTGTTAATAATATTAAATATTGTTAACTATAATATTTTTATTCAATTAAAATAAATTAAATCTACTAATATATTTTATTATAAATCATTTGTTTAATGAATTATCATTAAAACAGAACTATTAAAGATATATATATATGAAATGATAAAAAAAAAATTCATAACTTTTAGAATAGATGGTACTCACTAAAATTTTAATATTAAAGTAAATGACTTGCTCGCTTTGAAAGATATATATTTATTTGTGAGATGCGAAAAATCAGGAATATATTCAAGAAAAAAAGAATAATTGATTGATTCACTTTCGAATAAAATGAACAAATTATTCTTGAACGAATCGGAACGAAAAATTGTTTTTAATTTTGAAAATTTTTATTTTTTAATTATATTTTTATTAAGATTTTTTTTTCATTTGATAAGTATTATCTATCTACTAAATTAAAGTTATGAACCTCTTTTTTTATCATTCTATAATTGCAAGAAAATATTTTTAATGAGATGTAAATAAAAAATTTACATCTCAAACACGTCTTTTAAAAATAATTACAATATTTAATCTGCAATCTTTAAAATACTTTACAAACTTTAATTCAATATATATGATATTATATTACATAAGATATTACTATATTACAGGTATCAAATTTGTCACTTTACTTAAAAATTATTTTATATAATTGTGCGACTTACACAATTTAATTATAATCTTTTTTAAGCAAAAAATACAGTTACTACTATCAACTGAAAAGATATTCAAATATTGTATCAGATAATGAAATATCTCTTCTAAAAAGCAAAATTAAATATATATGTATATTTTTATATTATATTAATTTTTAATCCGATATATCTTATCAGTCTTAATTAGATGCTATTTTAATATGATTCATTATCGTATCAACAACTTCTCTACTTGTTGCTTGTCCACCAAGATCAGGTGTATGAACACCTTGATTAATAGTTTTATTAATAGCATTCTGAATTAAAGTAGCATGATCCTTATGTCCAAGATGTCGTAACATATCAACAGCAGCATTTAACATTGCAATAGGATTGGCAATATTTTTTCCAGCAATACGTTTACCTGTATTGCGAGTACCTGGTTCAAACACTGTGTAATGATCACCAAAATTTTTACCTGCTAATAATCCTGCACCACCTAATAAACCACATACTACATTTGATACAATTGCTCCATATAAATTAGTTGTTAGTATAATATCAAATTGATGTGGATTGGAAACCAATTGCATACAAGTGTTATCAATAATCATATCATTATGAGTAATATCTGGATAATCTTTTGCAACTTTTCTTGATATTTCTAAAAATAATCCATCAGAAAGCTTCATTATGTTTGCTTTATGAACTGTGGTAATTTTTTTTCTTCCATTTCGCTTAGCATATTCAAATGCATATCTTGCAACACGTTCAGAATTAATACTTGTAATAACTTTCATACTTTCTACAACACCTTTAACACTTTCATGTTCTAGCATAGCATATTCCCCCTCTGTATTTTGTCTAACAATAACAATATCAATATTTTTATGTCGTGAATTTACTCCTGGATATGATACACAATGTAAGACATTTACATAAAGATCTAATTCATTTCGAAGAGCAACATTTCTGGAAAGTACATCAGCTTCTGTACTACGAGTTTCAATGTTTCCTTTTAGTGCTACACCATTTCTACGAATTGATGTAATAGCATAATCTAAATCAACATTGTCATTTGCATTTGGATCAATTTCTACATCTTCAAAATCTACTGGTACACCTGCATATCTGAAAATCTGAAAGAAATATATAAAAAATTATATAAGATTTTTTTCATTAATATATTATTAAAAAATTTAACATTTAATTACAATAGATGAAATAAAAACATATACTCAAAAGATCATTTTTTATTAAAATTATATAAATATTTATATAAATATTTTTTGTACCTCTTTTACATAATTCATCAATTCTGGACCAATTCCAGCACCAGGTAAAAGAGTAACTGTATGTCGTCCTCCATAATGAGCTTTTGGTATAGGCATTACTTTTTTAATAGTTGGAGTTTTATGTTGTATTTCAAATGCAGAAAGTGAAGCACATCTATGAATTTGGGATACAACAGTTTTTGGACGTAAATATTTAACGATAGATCGGGCAGCCATTTTGAGTATTATTCTATAAAATAAAATTTAAAAAAATAAATAAAATTTTAATATTATATATATAAATTATATTTTATCACATACTATTACTTTGCAAATTCTATTTTAACAATACCTTGAAAGACCTTGCCAACTCCAAATTTTCAGCGCCGTTTAAATTACAACTTTTATAGAACGGAAAAATTAATATTAAATTTTAGATAATACTGCCATCTATTAAAATTATTTTTAACATCACATAATATTAGAAGTATTTTCATAATATTGAAAATAAATATTTTTTAATATAATTCTATAATAATTTTTTACATAAATAATGTGTATTATAATTACTATGAATATACAAAAAATTTAAAAACACTTTTCATGTAGTTAAATTATTTTTTTATAAAAATTAATTTTAAAAACAATTACTTTATATCCTGAAATATTAATAAAAGCATTTTAATTAAATGGCTATTTTAATTAAAAATCAAATTGTATATTTTATTGATTTTATTATATAAAAATTATTAAATAAGTATTAATCAACAAAAAAAAGCTTAACGTACAAATATTTCAAATTTATAGGTCATGATGTTCTAAAAAAAACTATCTTTGATAATAAAAATATATATTTTAATGTTCTATGATTGCAATAATTATAAAATTTTCTATTTAATTACTATTTATATAGTTAGAACAACCTCAGGATATCTGTAATAAATTAATTTTTCAATGTCATTCATAATTTCATAAAATCTTTTTTTTGATTTATGTTGGTCCTTCTGTTATTTTTCGCGGCAACGCGATAATAAGACGCTAAAGTGCTAGAAATCCCGCCGCATTGTTCGTAGTTATTTCTTGTATAATTTATAGCTATTGTCTAAGTAAGTACTATAACTAAAAATTATGATTTAGCAGATACAATCATAATAAAACTTAATTCAAATTTGTGTTACTTATTTCTAAATTTTCAAATAAGTTTATAAGAAAAATCTTTGATTACTTCCCGGCTATCATACCGCCATTTTGCATCATGTTCATCTTTTAGTATCTTCAGAGCTTTTTTCTTATAAAATTATGACGTGTATTATTATTTTACATTGAAATAATTTTTTTTCCAAAGTTATTTTCATTATCAATGCATTTTTTAAATCTGATCAATTACTTTAATTGTAACTTCATTTTTATTTCTGTTTATTATTTAGTTTATGATTTCAATTTTAATATTTTTTTTTCTGTATCATAAAATATATTTGCAGAATGAGCAAAGGAAAGGATTCATCCCCTGCAGAAACTGCAGGAGGAGAAGAATTTAGTGTTGAAAAAGTTTTAGACAGGAGAGTAGTTAAAGGAAAAGTATGTAATTTCAATATATATATATATATACACACATACAGTATCTGAAAATAGTATCCAAATATGCAATATACTTAATGTATTTAATAATAATAAATTTATTTTTTTTTTGATTTTTATATAATTTTCTTTTGATATATAAACAAAATTGATTAAAGTTTAAACTTATCATAGTATATCTTTTTATCTTTTTTTGTATAATTTAAAATAATCATTCACTGATTATTATTATTATCATTCAGGTTGAATATTTTTTAAAATGGAAAGGATACTCAAATGAAGAAAATACATGGGAGCCAGAAGAAAATCTTGATTGTCCAGATTTAATTGCACAATTTGAAGAACAACGAAAAAAGAAAGAAGCAGCTGCAGCTGGTAAACGATATGAAGACAAAGAACAAAAGAAACGAAAAAGTTCAAGTGGCCCTTTACCTACTCATACTAAAAAAAAAGTAACTGAAGAAAAGAAACCTGAAGGTAATATTTGTTTTTAATATTTAATTAATATACATGTAACACATTTTTAACCACTTTACTTTTACTTTACTTTATATACTTTATTTATATATGCTTTAATTTTATATAGGTTTTGATAGAAATTTGGAACCTGAACGTATTATTGGTGCAACAGATTCAAGTGGAGAATTAATGTTTTTAATGAAATGGAAAGGAACAGATGATGCAGATTTAGTTCCTGCTCGAATTGCCAATGAAAAATGTCCACAAATTGTAATAAAGTTTTATGAAGAACGATTGACATGGCATAGTCCTGCTCATGATGAGGAAAGTTCAGTAAAAGCTGATGCAGAGTAGCGTCCAGCCTTCCGATATACATACACAGCACGCTTTAGGATTTGTCGCATATAACAAAAAATAGCGTGTACAGAATGAAAAATATGAAGATTTATTGATTATTGCACAGTAATAATGTTATCAATTTTTTTTTTTAATGATTATTGATGAACTACTAAAATTGAGCAAACAAACATTAAATATTTCTGTCATTGTTAGTGAAAAATAATTTACAATATATACTCTTATACTTCCATAAAATGTATACTTTCAATTTTTTTTGCAACTGTTAATTTTTATATTAGCTAGATGAAAATTGATTCTTTATTGTTAATTTAAGAATTTAAATTCAAAATGTAAATATAAACAAAAGAATCAAATGTGTATTAATATAAAGTAGAATTATTTATACTTCGAATATAACTTTTTTAATATTATTTCATTTATACGAAACGATTTAATTTACAATTAATCGTTTCATACTCATAGATAAAAATGATTATATATTAATTGTTCCAGTTGCAAAGAAATTGAAATTCGACTTTTTTAAAAATACAACATGACAATGTACAGTACGTACAGAAATATGAATGAAAAATAATATCTTAACATTTTTTTAATGTATAAAATTCTTAAATGATAAAAATATTTGAAAAAAAATTTCTACATTTTTGAAATTTGAAATTAAATCTAGTAAATGATTTAAAATCTCTGTTAATCGTGTTTAATAATAGTAAATAATTTAAATTATCTTTTTTTATAACATTTAATAACAATAATTCATATTGTAGATTAATGTTTTCTTGACTAGTAATTATAAAAAAATATTTTAGTATATAAGTGTATGTGTAGTTTATTAATTTGTAAGAAATATCAATTAAAAATTCATTTTTTGTAATTTATAAATGTCTTGATTAAAAAAATTCATATAAAAATTAACAATTTTTAAATACTTTTATTTTTAATTTTATTATAATTATAATTTTTTATTATAATTAATGTTTTATTTTTTTTACATTTTTTTTTAAAATTTTAGAATTTTTTCGTTTGTTTTTATTTAAAGAATTTCTAAGCTTCTGATGTCGTTTGATTTCCCATTCTATTTGTTTAAAACTTGCACCATCTATAGTATTAAAAACATCTGTACCACCAGGTTTGTTTTTTTGTTTACTATGTTCTTCTAATATTTCTGCAAATTTCTCAGCTGATACAAATATATTGTTATCAATTCCTTTTAAATTTTTATTTTGTTTTTTTATATTTGATTGAGTATCTTCTAAAATATTTTCAATGCTATTTAATTGAGTATCTTTTGTATCTTCATTAAAGTCTAAATCACTTATATCATCTAAATCAATATCACTTAAATTTTGTAATTCATTATCAATTTCATTATTTTCATCTTTTTCGAAATTTTCTTCTGATTCATATATATCATCAGAATCATTACTTGCTTCACTTTTAATATTATCATCAAAATCTTCATCTTCTTCATCTTCAAAATCTAATAATTTAGAAAATTTGTAATTTATATAATAAAATATTTTTAAAATAATATTCAAAATAAAAAATAAAATATGAAATTTATATACCTTTCTTTCTCCCAATTTGAATATCAGCAGCAATATCTAAGTCTTCAAAATCTTTACCATTTGTTAATTTATCCAACATATCATTAAATTCTTCACTATTAACACTTTCTATATCATCATCTTCATCTTTAAATTCATGCTTAAATTCTTTTTTCTTTTTTAAATAATGATATAAATATAATTCGTCAACCGGAATACGTTCCTCTTTTTGATTAAGATATGAAATACTATCAATTGGAATGCATCTAATACCTTTAGGTGTATATCCTGCTCGTTGTGCAAGAGGATCATTTTTTTTCTGAACTTTTTTACTTTCTAATTTTTTTGGATTCTTAAAAACATAACGATCTAAAAAACGCATTAAGGATAAATCTTCCAATGGATCACCCATATAATCAATTAGTTTTCCTGCAAATATAAATAATATATAATAAATATATTATATATTAATATAATAAATGTAATATAATATTAGAATAATATACAAATTTAATCAAATAACTTTATATAATGCAATACCTTCAAGAATAGTATTTGCAAATAATGCAACACTTGGATGATAATGTTTAGATAATGTTACTAATTCGGTATTTGAACCTTTAGTTATTCCAGCATAAAGAGGATTTCGACAAAAAGGATCATATTCTTTGCATGTATTGAAATCAATTTTTATATTATTTTCCATTTCATTTTCAGATTTCATTTCTTTATCTATATTACATGTAGATGCAATGTTCATTAATAAAATAGAATTTTCTAAATTGGATTTATCATTAGATAAATAAGAAATATCTTCTAAATTTAATGAATTATTTTTAGTTTCAGAATCATCATTTTCAATTTTAATACAATCTTGAGATTTTAATAATAAAGTTTTTAATTCTTTATGTGTATGTAAAACTTTAGATATTACATATAAAGTAGCACATGCCATATTTGCAGGAAAATATAATATAATTTGTAAAGTTCTTTTAATAAAAGCATATGAACGTTGTTTATTATGATCATTTTGAAGAACTCGAAATAATAAATTAAGAAATAGTGCACGTTTATTTGCTATTCCAATTTGTAGATCTAATAATTTCCGATAGAAAGCAGAATAAAATCTATTTGATTGAGCTTCATCTTTACCTGTAACCTACATAAATAAAAAAATTAAAAATTGAATATATTATAATAAAAATATAAATAAATAAACATAATAAATATAATAAAATATTAATTATTAATCATATACTTACTTGATATAATAAATTGAGCGCATTTAAAGAAACATTGAAAGATCCAATATGTACAACTTTGTATACAGAATCTATATGGTCATTCAATATATTTGAATTCATTTTTGCAAATGGATATGCTCTATTTACACCAGTTAAAATTGCTGCCATCATTCTAGAATCTGGTTCTCCTTTTTTTAAACAAGCTTTAAAGAAGGCAAAGTAAACTTCAATAAGTGTTGAAGCAATTTTTTCATCCTTTTTAGTTAAAAAAAATTGTGTTAACAAACAAATTGCATAATATTGTGTGCGATGTGCTACATTTTTTCTAAATAATAATTTTTCAATTTCTCGTAATACAATAAGTTTCATATTGGGATGTTTATATAATAATTTATTTAGACAAAATATTACTTTAGATCCTATTTTACAATTTGGATCTCCTATTTTATTTACAATTAATTCCAATAATTTATATTGATGTTCAATATTTCCTATTAATAAATCTGTCATTACTGATATTGCTACTTCACGATTTGCATCTACTGTATCAGATGCAATGCTAGCTAGAGACATTATAAAACGTTCATACAGTTCATGTAATTGATCTTCAAAATACCAATGAGCCATTAATTTTTTTTTTGACATATCTGAGTTAAGTATGTCTCCAGAATTAAATTTATCAAGTTCATCTAAATTTTGTTCTTCAAATTTAAGTAACTTAAATTTAGGGTGAAGTAGATCTACCAAAAACAAGTCTCTTAAAGATTTTATTATCATGTTGCATTGATGATGTTTTACAACTCTTACTTGATTTATAAGCATTGTAAGTCTATTTAAATTATATTTTGGATTATCTTGCACTAATACAATGGCAGCTGCTATTTTATCCGAAGTTGTCCCCTGTGTTAATGCTGTTCTTAACCATGCTGTTTCTGAATTAGTATGTTTTGATTCTTTTAATTGAAAAACAGAAGTTTCTGCATCTAAGTATCTTTTTGCTTCATTTTTTAAATTTGATACTTCTATTTCTGATTTAGAATGTGTATATGAATCCTCTTCTTTACAATATTCTTTGTACCATTTATCACTGTTTATGTTCATTTTTTTAGATTCTTTCTTCAACTTATTAAAAATTCAAATATTATATAAAAATATGTTCAAAAATATATAAAAACAATATATAAATATATATTTTATAAAAGAAACATTTCTTACCTCGTGGTTAACCTTAGTAACTTTAATTAGAAATTTTTTTTTAAAAGTGACACAAAAACATAACAAAGCAGAATTATTTTTTTAAAATATTGAAAAATATTTATATGAATATCTAATATTATTCAATTCGTAATATATAATATATCGATATAATGATAATAAAATATTTCTAATAAACAAAATTTATGGAATACAATTAAAGTATCTATACAATCTCTACTAATATATGTATATATATATATATATATACATATATTAAGATTTTAATTTTAAACATTCATTAAAATATACAAAATAAGTGCAATTTATTATAAATTTAAAATCATATTTTTAATACATATATATATACTGATTATAAATATATACTCGTAAATTTTATAAATATCTTATAAAAAAATTTTATTCTTGAAAATAAAAAATTTGCATGTTACCTCTTCTTGAATTATATTCTCTTAATACAAAACCAAAATTTCTGACAGCAAAAAGAATTTTTCTTATTATAAATTATTCAATTACACAACATATTAATGAAATATAAAAAATAAAAGTTCATAGTATTTAAATTAAAATTTATAACTATAAAACAAAACAAAAATATATAAGAAATGTATTTATTAATATAATATTATTAATTAAAAGCAAATATTATAATACATTCATTGCAAATATTCGATTCAAGCAATGGATTTTAAGTCCATATAATGCTGGAAATTATAAAAAGTAAATGTTTCAGTCTCATATACTATTAAATTTATTGCTTGAGTCGATTGCAATGCTTCAATATGTTTTTATAAACTGTTTGATAATTTCTCTCTCTCTCTCTCTCTCTCTCTCTCTCTCTCTCTCTCTCTCTCTCTCTCTCTCTCTCTCTGCGTGCATACGTGCGTGTGTGTGTGCGCGCGCGCGGAAAATTTATTTACATATTTCAAAGCTATACAAAAAAGACTTTTATATATATATATATATATTTTTTTAAAAATATTTATATAAAAATAACAATTCATTTTTATTTCATTTGTCAAGCAGTTTGTACACTTTTTCTTCTTTTAGTTTTATTGTCATCTGATATATTTTTGAATGTTCTTTTTTTTGAAGAATTAAGACTAGTTTGTTCAATTTGAGAATTTCCATTTTGTAGTGATACATCATAATTTGATTCATTTTGTAAAACAAAAGAGCTAAAATTAAAGGGTTCAAAACCTTCAGATATTGCTTTTTGTCGCAACATCTGTGCTTTTTTCTTTAATAGTTGTTTATCTCTCTGTTTACTTTTATTTTTTTTCTTTTTCTTAAATTCATTTCTTTTTAACATAATAGTATCTGAATTTGTTTGTGTATTTCTATCCTCTTGTTGTTCTTCTTGTGTTTCCATATTATTTAATTTTTCCATGTTATTTATACTATCTTTTATTTCTCCATTTATCATAGTATTTTGTTTAGTTTTGGTTTTTTTCATTGATCTGTAATAGAAAAATAATAATTTCTTTTACAAATAATTTCAACACTATGATAATACTATAATAATATTTTAATTTATATTATTTATCTAATTAATTTATCTAATTAATTTTAATTAATTTTATTATTTGATATTTATTAATTTAATTTATTTAATTAATACATACATGTTAAGTGGTATTCCAATTTGTATTGCTAATCTATTATATGCTACTTTTGTATCATTTGCAAGTGATACATGAGTTCTGTACGTTTTAAGTACGTTTCCAATATTATTCCACTTCCATGCTTGTGATAAATGATGAGTATGAATGCTTCGTAATAATGTTAAAAGAAGACAAATATATCTTTGTTTGACTTCTTTTCCTATTTCATTACCATTAGTTGTAACAGCTTGTTCATTTTTAATTTTATATATATTGGATAATTCTTGAAATATACTTATAGTATTTTTACATATTTTTTTTTCTAATTTCATTCTTACATCAAAATGTTTTGTATCTAAATGAACTAGTCGACTATTATTATAAAATATAGTTAAGAATTCAAGTGCATATCCCCGACGGAAAGATCTTATGTTATTATCAAAAGCAAAATCCACCTACAAAAATTATGGACTATTAATTATAATTCATCAAGATTTATTAAGATGAAAATTAAAAATTTACCAATAAAGGAGCTAATTGCCAGTTACCCTCCCATTGTAATTGTAAAATGGTTTTAAATAACAAAGGTGATAATACACAATCTCTTCTTTTAAAAAAGGCTCTTAAATTTTCTTCATAAATTTTAATGATTGTATCTATAGATATATTAGCCTGTTCAGCACATCTCACAAGAAATGTACAACATTCAGCTAATTTATCACTCATTTCATGATAAACTGATGTGGTTCTTTCTCCTTTTTCTATTAAAGCCTTAAAAATATTTTTTTGTTTTATAAATAATGAATATAAGATAATTATTAAATTTTAAAATAGAATTACCTTTAATATTATTGTTAATAATTCTTCATTAACATTTTCTATATCTTTGAATTTTTTTATCAATGACAATGTTCTTAAACAAGATCGAACTCGATCTTGAAGAGGTTTCTGATGAGGATCTTTTATACAAAATTCTAATAATGTAAAAAGAGGAAGTAACATATCAAGTACAACTGCCATTGATGGAACACATTCTAAATAAGTTTCTAATAAATCTATAACTCGAATTCTAAAATGAGTTAAAGCTTGTGCTGATTTTTCTTGTTTTTTGGATCGGAACTGACGATTTTCCCGAAGAATCCTAAATGCCGCTGCTAACGATTCATCCAATCGTTTTCCTTCTTCTTCATCAATGTTTTCTACATTTATATCATCATTATCAATTTGAACAGAAGCATCGCCAAGTGCTTGACTAACTGCCATTCGTAATCTATCAGTTATTGTTTCATCTTCATTTTCATTTGTCGATTCTTCATTTGAATCAGAGTCACTATCTGAAGTCACCATTTCATTAGTATTTTCTTCATCACTTTCATCATAATCTGTACTATTAAAACTTGATTCCATATCTGATGAAATTTCATCATTTTCATTATCAAAATCATTTTTTGGTACAAGTGGTGCTTTTTCAGTTCTTACATCTAATACCTAGAAATAAGAATTTCGAAATATAATGACCAATCTTCTAATTATATTTATAAAATTTACGTACTGCTAAAATTTGATGTATAGCTGTAGGTGTTATATAGGGACAAATATGTGGGAAAACACATCCTACTAATGATCGTAATAAATGACTATTCTTTGAATAGAAGGACAATAATAAATCAACAACTACTTCTACCCATTCTGGTTCATCATTTTGTTCTTTATTAACAGTTTTATATTTTTTAGATTTTTTTAGTATTCTTTCATAACAACTTTGTAGTTCATCTATAGTCACAATTGCCATTTGTGGATCTGAAAATAATTGTAAACCCATATGCAAATTCATTGTATGAAATAGCGGTATAGCATCTGTTTTTTTTGAATTATTTTCCAAATTTTTAATTAAATGTGTCACTTTTTCCCATGAAATTTTAGCATCATTCACTAATGGATTTCTTAATTTTAAAGTTTGCTCTTTTAAATGAATGTCCAAGAAATGAACTAATTCACTTAATATATTTCGTAAATCACTCAATTTTGGTAATTTGTGATCTAATGCATGATAAAATGTTTCCTTAAATTGTGCTACAAACAAAAAAAAAATAATTATAATATAAAATATGTGTGATAATACTATAATATTAAATATAAAAATATTTACAAGCTAGATCTACCCCAACATTTGGCATTTCACATAATCCATAAGTAAATAAAAATTTTAATTGATCTAATTTCCATTCTATATCCATAAACATTTTAGGATGTCCTATTAACCTAATAATAATAAATTATTATTCATAATTGCATTAAAAATAAAATTTAATATTGTGATATAATATTATATTTCTTGAAATGTAAGTTTAATTAATTAAGTACCTTGTTAATAAATGAGCAGCATAAATTCTTTCAGCATTTGTCCAAAAAGATTCTGTTTTAAAATTTGTTTTTTCTCTAGGTATTTTATTTTCAATTATTTCTCTGTATATTTTTGATACTTTTTTTATACCATCTATATTTAAATTTCCAGTAAGCATTTGAATTACTTTTGTACCTGTTTTTTTTTCAATCATTAAATCACCTGGATATAATATTAATTTTTTTAATACAGCAATTTGTATTTTTAATTTAGTATCATTACTATTTGTAGCTAATATTAACAAATTTAAGACTTCTTTAAATCCAAGAAGAACTTCATCTTTATTATGGTATTTAGATCCAGAACATTTTTTTAACATATGCTGTATATAATTTGGTGATAATAATGATGGAAGTATAGACTTATCTACAATATTTGATAATATAAGCTTGAGAATCTGTATAACCAAGTATTCATCAGTTTTAGATGGTTTTATAAATTTTTGATCTATATGAATCCAAAAATCAGTAATGAGTTCAGCTGACATTAAATTTTCACAAAATAATTTAAATATTGGATGATGACATGATATAATTCTGGGTAAATCCTGAATATTAATAATATATAAGTTAATATATTTTTTATAAATAATTTTATAAATAAATTTATAATATATACTTACTAATAATACTTTCACTATGTTATTCATAGATTCTTTGCTGATAATATCTTCTGTACCAAAATGTTTTTTTGAAAATTCATTATTTACAAGTAATGGACATTTATTTCTTATTATTAACAAAGCATACAATGAATCTAATGTTTGTTCTGTCCATGGTTTGCCAAATTCTTTTTCAATAATTGGCCAAACTGATTTTTTAATACACTCACTATCAAGTTGATTTACAAATTCAACAAGAAATGAAACAGAAACAAATGATAAATAACTACGTTGTTTGCCTGCATTAATGAGATCTTGTATAGTTTGTAGTTGTATTTCATTAATACTATTTAAAAGTAACTTAGATCTTATTAATGTTCCATATGCTAATATGCGCCCCATATAAATATCACCATTTTCCTAAAATAACGTGATTAATATTAAATATAAATACTTAATATTGTGATATAATACATATTGATTTTCTTACACTTTTAGCATTACTATTTACTGGATGTAATTCATTGTTTACTATAGATAAAAATTTTTCTATAGACATTTTAGGATTTATTATTAGAAAAACTGTCAGAGTTGTATAAAAACCTATTCGTGAAGTTGTTTTTGAAGAGCCTAAGCTTCGAATAAGTCTTTTTATAGCATATTTAAATTCTTGGGTATCATTATTTTCCTAAAACATATTTGTATATAATTTATCAATATAAAAACTATGATCATTTTTCGCGCAATATAAAAATGACTTATTTTGAGGTTATTTTTAAATTAATACTTACCGAATTTTGTTCAATTAAATATTTTAATAGAACAATTCCACCGTGTATTCTTTCAGATTCTGTTTCATTTCTAAGTTTAGTAAAATAATCAAGAACTGTACAATCCATTTTATTCATTTTATCCTTCATTTTAAAATCATTTGAAATAGGCTCTAACATGTGCATAGTCTCATCCGCCATCTTGCTTTGTTTTACCTAAAAACTACGCTAATCTAATAAGTACCTACATAACAAATATATAAAAACAATTGAATGAATTAGTATTTTAATACCTGATCTTATAATAGTAGTTATTTAAATGAAACAAATAATGAATAGAATGTAAAATCAAAAGTGTATATTTCATTTTTGAATTGCATAGACTGTCAATCGTTTTCGTTAAAAATTTCGTACCTTTGTGTAGAACTGTCGAATTACTATAAATAAAAATTTCTAGTAATATTATGCAATTCAACTACATAAATAAATTATTTTTTGAAAAGAACTTATCATAATCTAATTGTTAACAATTCATAGTAAAAATAAAAGTAATTGTGTTCTTTATTAGAAATTTTTAATCTTTTGATAAATTACTGTCGAAATTCATTAATACAAGTAACGATCCCTAACTAAGTAAGTTTGCTTAGATTCATGATTTCAAATTCTTTAGTGATTAGAAAAGTGCCATCTTGAACATAGTATTGCACTCGACCCGCGCGGTCCCGGTCAGTTTCGTGCATCCAATATGGCTGGTCGAGGTGGTTACGAAGATTCAAGGCAAGTATAGGTTACAATTTCTTTCATGTATAACAGTTATTGAGATTTTTCAATACAATGTAAGGATAGTATTTAATCGATGTACCGAATTGGTAAAAAAACTGCTCTTTTCTTCAATAATTTTACGATTTTAAGGTTAAGTGAGTTTTGATTAGAGTGCAGCGCAGCACCTTACAGATATGGTTCCTTCGACACGCGGCTTTATTTTGGCCGGCCAAACAATAGTGCATTTTAGTCATAATATTATTGATAAAAATATGAACTAAAAATTTGTGCAATATATATAATATATTTGGTTAAAAATATTATTTGATATAACACATAAGAATATTTAATTCCACATTATTCACTAGAATATGTGCTTATGAAAATTAATATTCTAATGAGTGTCACAATTATAAATCTATATATTGTTATTATTATTTCTATATATTATTATTATTTTGTAATTAACTCTCAAAACTGAACATGAAACTTTTTGTAATTTTAACATGATTCTAAATGATTATTATGTATCAAATTTAAAATAATGTTATTTTTTTATTAAATTAATAGTTAAAAAATAATTAAATACAAAAATAATACTTATTTTATATATATTAATTGTGCAAAATATTAATATAATATATATAAAATGCATATGATTATACATTTTTTTAAACAGAGATTATGGAGGTGGATATAGAAGTGGCAGAAAGCCATTACCAACAGAACCTCCTTATACTGCATTTGTGGGAAATTTACCAAATGGAATTGTACAAGGAGATGTTGATAAAATCTTCAAAAAACTTAATGTTAAAGGAATCAGATTGGTTAAAGATAAAGAAACTGATAGGTTTGTATAAATGGAATTAATTGTAATATGATTGAATTGAATATTTTATAAATAATACAACTCTTTTAATATTACAAATATTTAATATTTTTTTTTTCTATAGGTTTAAGGGTTTTTGTTATGTTGAATTTGAAGATTTAGCAGACTTAGAAGCTGCATTGGAAATGGATGGAGCAGTAGAAGTAGATAAAAGTGTTATAAAAATAGACGTAGCAGAGGGCAAGAGAAATGACCGCGGTGGTTTCGATAGGAGAGGGCGGAGTGGAGGTAGCAGTGGAGGCTTTAGAGGGAGAGATGGAGGCCGTGGAGGATATGGTGATGATTTTGGAAGCAAATCTATGTATTCTAGTAAGCGTTATGCTTTGCATAACGTATATAATAAATATCTTTTAAATTTAACAATATATAAATTAATTAATTGGTATAATAATATTTTCATAATATTTAAAAAATATTTATAAGCTTATAAAATAAAATTTTATATATTTTGTTTATATATATTGTATATATAATTTCATGTTTTTCATATATATATATATATATATATATATATATATATATGAAATATATCTATATATATATATAAAGATGCATTATTATTAAAAATTAAAATTTAATAATGTGCAGGAGGTTATGTAGGTCAAGGTCAGAGTCACGGTGGAAGACAAGGTAGTACATGGGATATGAGAAGTAACCGGGGTAACTACAGTCAATTTAATGATGATACAGGAGGTGGAAGTCGAGAATGGTCGCGTAACGCTTCATCTAGATCATATGGTAATAGACCAGCTTCTCGTGGAACTGGAACTGAACGAAAACCATTTCATGATGAACCATTTCACAAAGATCCACCTCCAGGTTTGTTTGTATATAATATTTAATAGCGATTTTATTTTTAAAAAATTATGAATAATTTTAACATTGTTATTATAGCTGATACAACTGGAAGGAAACGTTTGGTATTAGCACCAAGAACAATTCAGGATCCCATAAATGCAATTGCAGAATCAAGTAAATCAAGTTCAATTTATGGTGGCGCAAAACCTCGGGAGGAAAAAATTAATACAGATGACAAGTAAACATATTATCATTACTAGTTTCTGATTCCCTAAATTTCAGGGAAAGGAACTTTCCCAACAAAAACATTTGGAAACCAATACAAGATCCCTTAGTTTCCTCAAATGTAGTGGGAAGAATCTCTTCAGAGATGAGAAATTGTAATAATTTTTATTTACCCCTAAGGGGAGTCTTCCCCATAATGATGAAAAGTGATTTAATGAGATTCTTAAGTTCTACGTATTTGGCATTTTTAATTAAGAATAAAATTTTTTCATCTAGTGCCCTCTCTATTTACACTAACTCTTTAGTTTAAAAAAATGTAATAATAAATTGGGAACTTAAAGTAAAAATTGTGTGCACCATGCATGCTCGAGTAATATTGGTTATGTGTAATTATATGTATATACATATGACCAATCGTATCATATATGTATATATATATATATGTACACACGTGCGCGCACACACAGACTTGAATTATTTGTGTATATATATATATATATATATACACGCGATAATGATGTGATACGGAAAGTACATTTTAATGTTCACGTCAATTTCATGTTGGGTGTTGTATCAGTTTATAATAATATTAATGGTATGTGTACAAACTATTATAAATATATACTATCACCATACATATATTTGATTCCGTAAAAACTGATCTTCTAATAATATAGTACTCAAATAATCTTTGTTTTAAAGAGTACAAAATATTGTCCGTCTTTTCATTTCCTTCCTTATAATTTTTATGTTTCATTTTAATACCAATCATTGTATCTGCTTATTGAGATGATTTATAAATAATTGTTTAATATTGAAACTCGATTTGATTAAAAATATTAAACATTTATTTATGCGCTTGTGAAATAATGACAAATAATTATAAAACATAAAAAATATTTGAGTGATTGAAAAAATTATACATCACTAAATAATATGAGGATAATGTGCCGATTATTACGCATTAATATTGTGTAATGAATTAATTTACTATGCTAGTAATAAATGTCAATCATTTGAAAAAAATATCGATAATTATGAGATAAATAAAGAAAAACTTATGATAAAACTTAATGATAAATATATTATATAAAACTATGCTTGTATATGATATTATTTCCTGAATAAAGTAGTCGTTTGCCTTGTATTTGTGTAATGTATTTTTAAAAAATTAAAGAATAAAAAAATAAAATTTTAATATTTTTAATATAATTTGTGAATTACTTTTAAATCATTAAATATTCGATTTTAATATAAATAAATTAATTAATTAAAATCAATTCTAATTCGCATTTAAAATTAAATAATTAATAATTAATCATCAATTTACATCAAAGAAGTTTGAAAGTTTTAAATTAAATTATGATTACATAGTTCAATACTTTTTATCATAAAAGTTCATACTTTTATTAAAAGCTTATTTCGGCAGCCACGCCTAAATTTCTTTCTTATTAAGGGTTATTCCCCTCCTTCTTCGTAATATAGATATACCGTAACATTTTCCTGTACAGTCAATGCAATATTTTTCTTTTATATCAATGAATTTACAATAAAATTATTAATTTTTTTAAATATAATTTTGCTTTTGTTAAATATATATAATAAGAATATAATGTCGATTAAAGCAAAGAATTTTAAATTCAAATAACCTATTCAATTTATTCATGATATATGTATACTTATATATATTTCGAGTATGGCTGTAATCTTGTCTTCTGTCACAATACTGCGCTTGTTAGCTTGAAATTTAGTTTTGGATTGTCCTTAATATCGTTTAAAAATATCGTACTGACTTCTACGTATCGTTTAAATTGAATTACGACGAAAAAATGTCTAGTGAAAGTGTAAAAACGGTAAGTATCCTTAACGGTAAATAATTTTTTTATAAAATATTTTCATACTTTTTTTTATAAAAAGATTCATATTATTTATTTTAAGTATATTTATTTTTTTATATTACAAAAATATGATTTTAATTTAATATAATTCGTATTTTCTTTATTAGTTTGCTAGTCTTGAAACACCTGGATATGTGGGATTTGCAAATTTACCTAATCAAGTTCATAGAAAATCAGTAAAAAAGGGTTTTGAATTTACACTTATGGTTGTTGGGGAATCTGGTCTTGGAAAATCTACATTAGTAAATAGTCTATTTCTTACTGATTTATATCCAGAACGTGTAATTCCTGATGCTATAGGTAAGTTAAATTTTGTTTATATTTTCATTTATAGATATATATCTTATAAATGATAATTACTATATTATATTGGTATAATAATAATTTAAATAGAGAAAACTAATCAAACTGTTAAGCTTGATGCTTCAACTGTGGAGATTGAAGAAAGAGGTGTCAAACTTAGATTAACTGTTGTTGATACTCCTGGTTATGGAGATGCAATTGATAATACAGATAGTTTTAGAGCTATCATACAATATATAGATGATCAATTTGAAAGATTTTTACGTGATGAAAGTGGTTTAAATAGAAGAAATATAGTAGATAATAGAATACATTGTTGTTTTTATTTTATCTCACCATTTGGTCATGGGTAAGATATTTTAATTATAATTTTATTTTATTATAGCATGATAAAGATACATATTTATATTTCTTTTTATTTTTATCAGATTAAAACCTTTGGATATAGAATTTATGAAGCAACTTCATAATAAAGTTAATATAGTACCAGTAATTGCAAAAGCTGATGTACTTACAAAAAAAGAAGTATTGCGTTTAAAGAAACGAGTTATGGAAGAAATAGAAGGCAGTGGAATAAAAATTTATCCATTACCAGATTGTGATAGTGATGAAGATGAAGATTATAAAGAACAAGTTAGACAATTGAAAGAAGCAGTTCCATTTGCTGTATGTGGAGCAAACACATTATTGGAAGTAAAGGGACGAAAAGTACGAGGGCGATTGTATCCATGGGGTGTAGTAGAAGTTGAAAATCCTGATCATTGTGATTTTATAAAACTGAGAACAATGTTAATGTATGTAATATTAGTTTAAATGAATATATTAAAGAATAGAATAGTTTTTTATTATTTATTGTTTTTATATAATTATAGCACACATATGCAAGATTTACAAGAAGTGACTCAAGAAGTACATTATGAAAATTATCGCAGTGAAAGACTAGCAAAAGGAGCTCCTGTACCACCTCGAAGACAAACGTAAGTATTATAATTTTTAAAAAATATTCAAAATATTTTTTTACTAATAAAATTCTTTTTTTTTTTTTTTTTCAATAGAATTGCAGAATCTGAAAGAAGTAATTCTGTTTCTGAAAAAGATCGAATATTGCAAGAAAAAGAAGCAGAGTTACGACGAATGCAAGAATTAGTAGCGGTAATGCAGGCACAAATGCAACAACAACAACCTTAATTATATATATTTTCTGCACAAATGTGTGAAGAAAAATTAATTCTTCACATTACAGGTGCCAAAAAATTTTATTAAATGATCAATACACTATTCAAAACATAATTTGAGAAAAAATTTACAATTTTTAAAAGTTTATTTATGACAAATATAATTAGAAAATATACATTTCTTATTCAATATTTTTGTTTTAAATATTAAATCATGAACAAAATTCAGTATTTTAAAAACATAGAAAAATAAAATTAAAAATATAGGAAAAATTACATATAAAAATTATAACTATAATTTAATAACCATACAACACAGAAATGCGTAATAAGTGCCTTGCATATTTTTTTTTAATAAAAAATAATTTATAATTTCCATTAAAATGCAAATATCAAAACTAATATAATCCATTTTATAAAAATAAAGCTGTTATAAAAAATTTGTATTTCTTAAACAAGATGTAGTACAATTAATATTTGGTAAAATATGTTATAATAATATATATTGAAATATATAGAATGTAACAAATATGCTAAATTTCTCAAATATTATGCAAAAATTTTATTTCAAAATGAAATGAAAATTTATAAGATATAATGTATCTTAAGAACTCTAATAACAAGAAACTATATAAGTTTATATAAGTTGTATAAATACATATATACAATAACATTTTATAAATATCGATATTTTACACAAGTGACAAAGAAATTGGTAGAAATATATATACAATTTGCATATCTTCCAATATTTCATATATATTTTTTTATGAAAAAAATTTTAAGACTGCCAATATTAAATTATTAATAATCATTCACAATATTTAGAAATTAAAAGTTTATTTTATGCTGTGATAAGCAGTGTTAAATAAGTAAAGTATAGCTTTACATGTGTTTTATTTTCAATAAAATGTAAAGTATCAAGTATTAAGAATTAACATTTATTTTTACTTAAATTCTAGTAATATTTAATTACTAGTACCTATTCTTAAATCATTTTATAATTTTTTTTGTTTTAAAAAAAATGTATGCAATTTAAGAAAAATATTGTATTAAAAATAGAGAACTTTCAGAATGTAGGTAAAATGAGCATCAATATATATTACATGAATTTTATTTTATTTCTTAACTATTGTACTTATATATATGCATTTTTATATTAAGAATATTCTTATGCTTTTATACGTATTGTACAGGTATACTCAGAGTGTGTTTTATATTTTTTTTTATATAAATATATGTCTATAATAATATGTGACATTGTTTAAGATTTATGCATATAATAATCTATTACTGTTGAAAAAGCTGCAAAACCTGCTGCTCCAATTAAACCTGCTTTTATACCAGCTAAATCATAAAATCACATTAAAATTCCCTACTTATATATATTAAATTTATATTTAAATTTAGAATACCTCTTAATCCTATTATTCCACCTGTTAAACCACCAGCATATGTACCATTCTTCCAATCAGTTTTTCCTCTATACTAAAGTAAAATTCTAGAATAATATTATAGATAAACATAAATTAAATTATAATTTTATGTTGAATTTAAGGAATTATTACCGATTCTATTGCACATTCAATAGCTGAATATACACAACCAACTACTGCAAAATTTTTTGCATAACCCAATGTTGTAATTTTCATTTCTCTAAATACTTCACGGACAGTTTGTTGTTTTTCAACACTGGCCACATTTGAATTCACACTAGATGAAAATAAACCTATAGCAGCTCCCAAGCCATATCCTACAAATCTAATTTTTTTTTAATTATACTTATATATAAAAATAAACATAATTTTTAATATTATATAATACAAACATACCTATGACACAACTTGCAATACTTTTAAAGATACAACTTTCCATTGCACTTTCTACTAATTTCTCTTCATTAGTTTTAATTCGTACCGGACCTACAGTTCTTGGAATTATAATATTTTCTCTAAATCTTTGTTGAGTAATGAGATGAAGAGCTATTTTATCCAAATCCATATCACTTATAACATTATTTTCACTTGTGTCCAATAAAGATGATTTAGATGGATTAATGTTAAACATATTTAATTCAATATTTCCTATAATCAATATTTAATTCAATTTTTAATTCAATATTTCAATTCTTAAAAAATTAAAATCATATTAACATATATCTTAATTATTTTGAATAATTAAATCTTATTTCTTTAAATAAAAATGAAATAAAAATAAAAAATCTAATAATTAATGTAAAAAGATTTTATGTAAAAATAATCAGAAAAAGAAAAAAACAACATATAATTAACAATTAAATCAAACAATTATTAATCTATTTTTTATTCTAACCTTTAGTTTGTAAATAATTTTTTAAGAAAATTTTTTTTTAATTTTTAAATTTTCAATTAAAATTTGTTAAAAAATAATTTTAATATTATTAATATAATCATTTCTTTATTATTTAGCCATAAATAATATTGTTATATTTATAACAAATATAAATAGAATTACTTTTAATATATCAATTTACTTGATATATTGATATGCCGTACCGTATATACATTTCAGAATTCCAAATATGTATTTCCGAATACATATATATGTATATTATCTAAAATATTAATAGCAGGAAATAGTATTTTATTGAAAATTAGTAATATATTTTACCATGATAATTAATTCCAAAAATATTTATTAAAATATGTATAAAATTATATCAATATTCTGCTTTAATATTTTAACTATTGATTATTGATAGAATAAGACTATTGATATATTAACTATTGATAGAAGTATGCATATATATATATATATATATATATATATATATATATATATATAATATTTGAAACGATATCGAATTTTCATATATATAGGTTATACATATAATAGTTTGTTTTTTAAAAGAAAAGAATGAAATTATTAATTTATTAAAAATAATTTCAAAATAGTGTTTTGATTACCTGATTAAATGTATTAAATTATATACTGAAGCCATTGAAGAAAAAACAGAAATGGAAGAAGATAATGATGATGGTAAAAAATTGAATTTACGAAAATTATTCAAATTATAATAAAAAAATTAAAATTATTATATCATTTCAGAAAATAATATTGCGATTAAAAATATAGTTCCATTAATAAAAGATTTATTCCATGTGCATGGTAAAGTTGGAGAAGGAACCTTTAGTTCTGTATATTTAGCTACTTTAAAATTATCTGATGGTTCTAAAAAATTTGCATTGAAACATTTAGTTCCTACTAGACATCCTGAAAAAATTGAAAGAGAATTACAATGTATGCAACAAATAGGGTAATTGACATTTTATAAATTTGGTTATTATTTAAATAAATGTATTTATATATTTAAAATTAATATCTTTATGATATAATTTCTTTTTTAGAGGAAAAGATTATATAGTTGGATTGGAATTATGTTTAAGAAGTTTTGAAACAGTAATATTTGTAATGCCATATATGAGACATGATAAATTTTCGGTAAGATTTTTTTATTTATGACTCAATTAATTATTTTAACGTACTTATTTTATTATATAATGTTGTAAATGTAATAATTTATTGATATTAAATAGGAATATGTACAAGACATGACTGTTCAAGAAACAAAAGATTATATGATAGCATTATTAACTGCATTACGAAGAGTTCATCAATTTAATATTATACATAGAGATATTAAACCTAGTAATTTTTTATATGATAGATGTAATAAAAGGTAAAATAATGTAAATTATCTAATATAAATTTAATATATTAATTTTTTTTATTTTTTAATAGATATTTGCTAGTTGATTTTGGATTAGCACAAGAGTATATACCAGAAAAGAAATCTAGTAACATTAAATTAGCTAATTCTGAAATACAAGTTGTTAAACGAAAAAGATCAGATGAAGTAAAGTATCAATTATTATAGAAAAATTTTATAAGTAATATATATATTATTTTTTTCATATTTTTCAGAATAGTTTAAATCTTTCTCTTAATTCAAAAAAGAAAGATACAGGAGAAAAGTGCTATTGCTTTGGTAAAGCAAGGGTTTGTTCATTGTGTATATCAAGACCTGAACAGACAGCTCCCAGAGCTGGCACACCAGGTTTTCGAGCTCCTGAAGTTTTATTAAAATATCCTTCACAAACACCTGCAATTGATATTTGGGCAAGTGGAGTTATAATGTTATGTATTCTCAGTGGTACTCAGCCATTCTTTCATTCACCAGATGACTGTACAGCTTTAGCAGAAATAACAACTATATTTGGATCAAATAAAATGCAACAATGTGCACGTAAATTAGGTATAATATATAATTTTTTATTTAGTTCATATTGTAAAGCATTTCATGTTTTTTCTTTTATTTTAATTATTTTATGATTTTATTTATTTATATTTTATTTTAAATTTTTTTATAATTTAGGAAAAAAAATTATCTTTAGTGATGATATACCAGCAGTTGATATTGTTTCTTTATGTCAAAAATTGCAAAAAAGAAATAAGGGTTTATTAAATAGTAAAAATCATAATACATGTGAAAAGGTATTTTTTAATTTATTATTTATTTATAATTATAATTAATTTAAATATAAATATAATTTTATATTTTTTAATAATGTACAAAATAATATAGTAAAGATTTTACTATTAAAAAATATTCAATATTTTAAGGTATCATCAGACACACAAAAAGAGTATCCAAAAGAAGCTTATCATCTTTTATCAAAATTATTAGATTTAGATTATAAAACACGTTTTACTGCAGATCAAGCTTTAAGTCATCCATTTTTTAAATTATAATGTCTACTTTTATATTAAAAATTGTTTTAGTTATTTTGGCAAATTTATAAGAAAACTATTTTATAACAATACTATAAAAATAATTAAATAATATTAAATGTAGTATTAAGGATTGTACATTATGAAACTTGTACATGTACATATGATTGTATACAAAATACATAATACATTACATTATGTTAAATTAAGTAATTTATATTAAAGTAAATAATTTAGATTTTTAAACATTTTAAATATTAAATAAATAATTTTGTTATTACATAACAATATTATATAATATAAGATTATATTAATAAGATTGTTAATAAATGCAATAAATTTATAATTT